TTGCAATCGGTGGGAAGCTTGAGGTTTAAGATCTCCTTCCAGCGTCCGAATCGCACTAGCACATGCGCCTTACTTCCCAAGAAGCTCTCGATGAAGTCTGCCATAGGCGGGCTTTTAGTAGATAGCACTTCTGGAACAATAACCGTTTCAAGCTTTTCGGCAGCACACATCGCGTCCATGAACCGGCCGGACATCATGGCGGAATATAACTTCGCACAGATGTAATGCACCCGGTAGGTTGTGTACCAAACTATGTCCGTTTCTCGAGCAAAATAGATGTCATCGGCAAGGATCGCTTCTTGGTTAGAGTCGATACCCCGCCGATAGTCTCCAACCGCGGCGTCAATGTGCGTCGGCATGTGTAACATATGTGAAGCGTGCGGGACCATGCCACGTAGACGATCAGCAGCTGGCAGGGCTAATTCTGGAAATGGAGACATCTCCATCATGTGTATGTGCAGATGGCAAATTGCTGGATGATTGCGCCCGCTGTCCTGCTTCAGTTGCAACTCAAGAACTTCGCGAGCCTCAATTGTGTGGTTCCCAATTGGTTTACCTGTGTCCAAATCCCACAGGCCACGCGGAGTGATGCACATCAGCGCTTCTGCAAATAGTGCAGCCACGTCTCCATCATTCCTGAATTTCTGATACACAGAGCGCATCGCGTCCGCATATAGGCAGTCGAAGGAACTCAAGTCCTCAGGAATGGCATCGGTCGGTGGAAAACGCGCGCCGATGGCCTGGATCAACGCTTGTTCAACTGGTGTGGCCTGGCTCGAGAGCTTTGACGCTTGGGCGAGGGTATCATTGACTTTCTTGATCGAAGCCTGACGATCTTCGGAGTCAAAATACTTCCACGCTTTGTTGTAGTTGGGCCCAGACGCATACGCAATTCCCCATAGCGCCATAGCACAATTGGGATCACGTTCAGCAGCTCGTTCGAAGCATAGAACTGCTTCAGTATGGTTGAAAGAATAAGCCCATATCAATCCGCGATTGAACCATAACTGGGCTTCTGCCGAAGAAGTGGTCATTGATCGTTGATACGAACCAAGGTCGTAATAAGCCTCTGTGTCAAATCTGGTGGGAATGTTGAATTGATCGCTAGGTGAGTGTTAGAGTGTCAAGCATGGTCAAGTTTTCATAGAGCCTTACCGCATATTGGACTTGTCGAACATGGTGGGATTGTCCACAACTCTACCAGTCTTAGGTTTAATAAAGTCAGTGGGAAAACAGGTCGGTCTATATATGCATAACGCTTAGTCAATGATTTATCAGCCGTCTATGGCACATCACTCCCGCCCAGGTTAATGAGGGCAGCTATGGTGCACGCCACTACATCACGTGGACTGGCGGGATGCCGATAAAGATAAGTCTAAACGGATGTACTCCGTACTTGGGGAATACATAGCCTCGATAGGTTCCACATTTCTATACCTGAAAAGATGGATTGGTGATGCAGTAAGGCTATTGGGTGCCGTTGTCTTTGTTGTGTGCTTCCTTTGTCAAGAAATTGATGCGGTGAATGACCGAGGCGCTGTTGGGTGTAAGAACGAGGAAATTCTTCCGTTTTATCACAGTCAAACCGCTACCTATTGAAGTAAGGGTGATGGTGAAATTGATGATAATTGCTGTGGGAACTGACCCCTTTCCCTCATGTTTCAGGCTGTACTATGAATTACACGTACAACTCTGGTGTTTTCGGCATCCCACCTGGCACGGTTCCATGTGGGGGCTTCCAATTCACCATCCGTCCTAAGGCGGTTAGATTCTCCGCCAAGACTCGGTTGCTGATTTGGGTATCCAACTAACGTGGGACCCAGAAAGATGCCTGACTCATCAGAAATTCAAATTTAATATCAGTGACGTCTGTTGAAGTTCGGACCAGCTGAAGAAATTGGACACTATTAAAATATTATTTTTTTGGTCTGATTAGCTAATTTCCCGGAACTCCTCCGGTGTTGGATACAACTGGTACCGCAGGCGCTCCTTCTACCATTTGAACACTAGTAGTCAATGGCCGTGGGATGTTCAACATTCATCAATATGTACCTACCGGCAGAAATAATCGACCTTGTAAGATTTATCGCAGTCCATGTTTGCGACACTACTGAACAACGCTTTGGCATGTTCTGTTCTATGTCGAGATCGGCACTGTGCAATCTTCACCGAAAACATCAATTGCTTGGTCCTTTCGAATCATGAACAAACAAATTCGAAAGAACTTGGCTGGACTCCGCTTGGTTAAA